GAGAACTTTGGGTTTTGCTCTGAATAAAATGGGAAGCCATCTTGGATAGTTTTGATCAAAGAAGCGACATGATCTGACATTTTTAGTCAGCTTTATTGTGATATAGTTTGTATATAAGAACCCTTGGCGATTTCAAGTGTGCCATGTGATGAGTGATCCCAAAATCCTACCCCCATCTGACGACCTCCGCATTCATCATCCGGATCCACTCCATCACCTGCTCTGATTTCTGTGCTGAGAAAACTGGAAAATGGAAGCAGGGAGATGAGCTGAGAGGTTCTGGTAATAAACTTGGTGAGAAATGATGATGGCTTAGATCAGGTGGTAGCACAGGAGGCAAGGAGACATGGTCACTCTCTGAATGTATTTTGAAAGAAGAGCAATCAGGATTTTCTGAAAGATTGGCTGAGGTGTGAAACAAAGAGTCACAGATGACTCCTGGGTTTGGGGGCCAAGATATTGGAAGGATAGATTTGCCATTAATGGAAATGGACTGGACTGAGGAAGGAGCAGCTTTGGGGGCAGAAGGTCATTTCAGACGTTTCCAATTTAAGGTGTCTAATGGAGTTTTAGAAGGGCAGTTGGATATACAAATCCAAAATATCCAGCTGATTGGAACAATCTAATCAGAGAAGAGTTCTTGGTTAGAGATTTGAGAGCATGAGCTACATCCAAAACAAACTGTCATGTGTCCCTCAGGAAGGCATAACATTCTTGGCAATGGACATGTACTATTTTTTAAAAGGAGAGGTAATTCGCAGATCTGTCCAGAGACTTCCTGGATCCTCAGTGCCTGAAACATCTGGGAATATTGCTAGGGTTTATGTCGCTAAGTTATCATAGCCTCAGGATATTGCAGGAATATCCCTCGGAACAAGACCGGTTGTGATGCTTGAACACACCCCTGGGAGTTCACGTGTTCTACACTGGCCCTATTTGGAAAAGGTGCCAGTCAAGACTTTTAGGGTGTGAATGCTGAGTTATGGAATTAGGGCTGAGAGATTTCCTAAAGGACTTCTTGCTCCAGCCTCTCTTCTTTCATGGCTGCCAGAGAATCAGTGTCACATCCGGTGGGAATTATCCCACACTTCCCTGGGATTCGCCCTGGGTGGACAAGTCCCTTAGAAAGTTCTTTCTTCACTGGAGCACAGACCTGCCTCAGTGTGGTTGAAGGTCTTACCACATTTAGTGGGTGAGACACAAAGTACAAGGGTTTTTGACTTGGCTGTAAGTTTCTTGGCTTTCCTCACCCTCCCAGGGCCTGTCAAGTGGTTTAGATTTCAAAACTTAAACCCTTGGCCTTCACTAAACCTTCCCAATATTTTCTGTCAAGAGGTTTCCTGGACTTGTGAAGGGAAAGTAAACCAAATAGGCGTTTGTTTCTCCTCAGGGAAGCGCGGTGCTTTCGGAGGCCGCCAGATTATTATGGTCTGTGGGTGGTGGAGGCCTGCCAGGAAGGAACAGAGGTGTCTGCCTGCAGTGCAGCACAAGCTGAGGGCTGTGGTGTGGTTCTTGGTGCTGGAGAAAGGAGATTTGTGGGCAGGATTCAGAACTGGGGGCCATGTTCAAGCCCAGACCCCTCCTTTCCCATCCTACTGCCACCCTCTTCTCTGTGGCTTCAGCACTGATTATAGCTTCATTTTTTTCCTAACAGGAAGTAGATATCAGCTGGGAATGATGGCACACAACTGTAATCCCAGCACTCTGGGAGGCTGAAGCAAAAGGATTTCAAGTTTGAGTCTAGCTTGGGCAACTTAAGAGACTTAGTGAAACCTTGTCTCAAAATAAAAAATAAACAAAGATCCGGGGATGTAGCTCCATGGGAATGCCCTGGGGTCAATCCCCAGCAAAATACACATGCACACGAAGTAGACATCAAGCCTTTGGTTGGACCAGGGCTTGTATACCCTCATCTCACCCTCTGAGATTGGTACCATGAATCCCAAGTGCACCCCAAGGGACAGGGCTCTGACATCACTTTGGCTGGATGCAAATGCTGTAGTGGGAGGACAACACTGACTGTGATAGCACACGGTGTGAAAGAGGTGACGTTAATGCGAGGGATTCAGTCGCTGTTCAGATTTGAAGGTTGAATACAGCCTAGAGAACACCAACTGCACAGGGCCAGAGAGTTCTGGCGTCTCACAGCCATGAACTTGGCATCAGGTAGAGCACAGATTACATAAAAGCAGTGTGGGAATAGGCCAATGTAGCACCCTGGGCCACTTTAGTATTTACACTTTTTTTGTTTCTGTGGGATAGTTGCAAGTGTGAATTCAGGGTGGCTTTAAAAAAAATAGATAGCTTTTATAATGTAGACTTTAAAAATGTATATAAAAATAGATTTCTGGGCCTTGTCCTCAGAAACCCTGACTCAGTGAGTCTGAGTCAGAAAACTGTCTTTTGAAATCTTTCCCAGTGAACTCTGGGATGCATGTTTGGCATTCATCAGCTTAAATAAGAACTAGGGGCAGGGCAGACCCTTGAGTGTTGACATTTGGACTTCCTGGCCTCTGTTTTGGTCCCATGCTTGCCTTACCTGGACGGCTCTGCCAATTGATCGCTTCCCTGCCCTGTTGAAGCTGTTCCTCAGGACTGCTGGGAGGATTAGGGAGCGCATGTGTGAAGAACATTTCACATCATCACTCAATAAAAGTCGGTTGTTATCCTTATTATCTCTGGTTAAAATTATATAATGTGGCCAAGGATTTAGTTCAGTGCTTCCGCTGCCTGCGTCGCAAGCGCAAGGACCTGAGTTCAATCCCTAGTACCAAAAAAATAAATAAATAAAATAAAATTATATAATGTGTCTGAGGCATGTGACTCATTGGCCATGCAGGAATAGCCCTGGAATACAGTAGAATTAGGTCAACCTCCTTCCACCACTAATCCTGGCATCTCTGTTCCCGCAGCAAGCTTCCGGTTTGGCCCCGTTGGGTTCTCACTTGGTGCCAGTCTGCCGTTCTTGGATTTGCTTTCTACTCTTTTGGCAGAATCTGGAGCAGGTGTAATGCCCCTTTGTGTTTATTTAGAAATACTCCTGACCGGTGGGGAGGACTTAGCTGCCCACTCGAGCTGTTTTGGTGGCTCATGTCCATCCCTTTGTGGTTATGTTTACAACTGTGGTATAACTGCTTGGAAGTGAAATGTCATTTCTCTGGAGACAGGGCTGTTCTGGAGATACAGTGAAATTCCTCAGCCTTGGAGGGTCCCCAGCATGTAATACAAGCTCTCTCCCAGCTCTAGAACTACCCAGAGTGGATGGGATTGTACGGTTTAAACAAGAGCAAGGGTGAAGGCTGGATCCACTCATCCATTTATTCAGCCAGCACTTATGAGCACTTTGAATGTACTCAACACTATGCAGATGCTGGAAAGAACAAAACAGGTCTGGCCATTCCAGCTCAGCTTTTCTCTGTTGCCTTTTCAGAGCATTGAGCACATAACCACCTTAACCTTCATTCCCGCAAGTCCAGGACAACTATCAAATGCTTACTGTATATCAGGCTACAGGGTTGGTGGGATAGCTGCTGTCTCTCAGCAGCTCACAGTTTAATAATTAAGCAAGCTCAAAAACAACAAAACCACCCTATTTCAAGTCTGGTTTGGAATGAGTGAAATACACCCGTCCTCCCAAGAGCTTAAGTAGAGCTAAAATAGAAGGGTGTATAGAGCACAGGAGTGTAAGAATTAAATGTACTTCAGAGGAGTCCTCTATTTAGTAAGCATTTGCTGAATGCCTTCTATACACCTAGTGTTGTGTGTAGAAATAGAGAAAAGTCATCCTCTGTTTCTATGGAATAGCATCTAGCAGTGCAGACTTTAAAATAAGAGCTATCTGGGGCCGGGGTTTTAGTTCAGTGGTTCTGGCGCCTGCCTCGCAAGTGCAAGGTCCCAAGTTCCATCCCTGGTACCAAAAAAAAAAAAAAAAAAAAAAAAAAAAAAAAAAAAAAGTATAAAATAAGAGCTATCTGATTTTGTAACCTGGATCTACTGCTTAGCAACTGTGTGACCATAGGCAACTTACCTGCCCTCTCTGAGCCTCACATTTCTCATCTAAAAAATGGAGGAAATGATGTTTACCACACAAGACTACTGAGAAGGACAGGTGAGATTTTCTCTTAAGAGGCTTTCAGCTTGGCAGCCTTTGGTCTGTCTGCCACCACGAGGAAGAGTTAATTGTCCAGAACATGACTGTTGCCGGGACTGTGAGCTTGCCTAGGCTGGACACTGGGGCTGGTTGGATCAATTGTCCCCAGCTCACGTCTGGTTTCAGGTACTGCTGACCAGAGGCCTGAGCCGCTGTCCCTGTGTCCATGCCATGGGCAGCATCCCTTGTCCAGGAGCTCGTAGTGAGGCTGAGCCCATCCTCCCCATAGAAGGTAAACTTGGGGGCTGGCATGGGTCCTGCCCAGGTTGAGCCTGGTGCTGTTTCCTGCAGGTTCCTGGTGTGTGCTTCAGTTTCAACTCCCCCTGCACCCAGGATCTTGAGCTCACCTGGTCCCCCTGCCTCTCTTGCTGTCCTTGTCAGGGCTGCCCTGTTGCACATGGCTGACTTCCTGCTGGACCTGACTCCCCAAACCTAAGGTCACCTTCTCTCTGCTGGCCTGGCGGGGCTGTACTGTCTGCCTCAGCAGCCATCCCAGCTGGCCTCTAGTGCTCCCGTCCCACTCCGGGCCTGCAGGACACCTTGCTTTCAGCATTTCTGCCCCAGTGGGGGTTCTGATCCACTCAACACACATGCAGAGTTGCAAAAGTGTGCCTGGCCCTGGGTCAGGGATAGATGGATGATGGCATGCTCTCTGCCCCAAACACCTGTTATTCAACGTCCTCAGAATAAAAATGGTGCTTCGGGAAAGAAGCTTACAGTGGGGAGAGGACAGGTAGGGAAATAACAATGTACCTTCTGGTGGCACTCAAGGGTCCTCTCTATCCAACTTGCAAGACCAACACAGACCAAAAGCAAGGTTTCCGCTGGTAACCAGTTACTGAGTGCTCACCATGTCCTGGAGACTGAAATCCAGCAGGAATAAGATGTTCTTTCTGCCTTCAGAGCTCAGAGTCCATGGTTGGCAGAATAATGGCTCCCAAAGATGTCCAGGTCTTTGTCTTCATGATGCTGTGACTATGCTACACTACCTGGCAAAGGAGAATTAAGGTTGCAGATAGAATTACAGCTGCTAATCAACTGGCTTTAAGATAAGGAAATCATCTTGGATTATGTGGTGGGCCCAATGTAATCAGTGGGGTCCTTAAATGTGGAAGAGGGAGGTAGACAAGTGGGTGACAGAGTGATGAGATGAGAGAGGTCTCAACCAGCTCTTGATGGCTTTGAAGATGGAGGAAGGGGCCACAAGCCAAGGAGGGCAGGCAGCCCTAGAAAGTGGGAAAGACCACAAATGATTCTCCCCTAGGGTCTTGGAAGGAGCAAAGCCCTTCTGATACCATCAAGAACCATTTAGACTTCTGACTTCCAGAACTATAAACTAACAAAGTGATGTTGTTTTAGGTCCCTAAGTTTGTGATAATTTGTTATAGGTGCAGTAGGAAACTAATACACAGTCCAGCTGGGAAGATGGACATGAAAGAGGGCTTGCAGTGCAATGGGATACAGGCAAGAATGACAGGAAAAGCAGCGAAGGATACGGGGTCCTCAGAAGGCTCCCACTGCCTCCCAGCTCTCGTGGGCTTGAGGGGGGCGTTGGAGAGACCCTGCACTTTGTAGATGAAGAAGGATGGTACCTGGGGAAAATGGAAAAGCTGGACTAGAATTTATTGTATCCTCTAGGGGACAGTGACCTGGTCCCTCAAAAGTCCAAAGAGGAAATGCAGGGGGATCTGGGCCCAGGATGGGGAAATAACCAAACATCTATCCAGGCTGGCTCCTCCATCCAAAGTTCCTTCCTTTGGGAGAGGGATTTGGGTAGAGTTCAAAATATCAAAGGTGGATAGGTAAATTATAACATATTCATACAGTGGAAGAGTAAACCTCAATCAAAAAGCAAATAAAAATACTATTTGACAGAAAAAAATGCAGGAAGCACAGAAGAATCTGATCAGCAATTTTCACCAAAAGGAATTTATGCTGCTCGTGGCTCACCTAGGAGCTCAAAGATGACTGAAGGGGAGGCGTCCTGCTACAGTGTTTCCTCTAGTTAGAAACTGGAAACGACTTGAGTGTTCTCCATAGGCGATTCATTACATCCGAGGTATCCAGAGTGTGACATTCCATGAAACTTAATAAAAGCAAAAAGCCAGACCCATTTTACTTGACAAGTAGAATGACCACAAGATTTATCCCAACCAGGAGACTTCTGACAGTGAAAGGGATTTTATTCCTAACTATACAGGACAGAGGGCACAAACCAGACTGTCTCAGATAAACTGGGACATGGGATCATAGGACTGATAAACAATGATCTCCAGAGAAGATTATTATTAGACCAAAAAACACAATGTATAGCAATATATATGGCATGAGTCCATCTGTGGTTTGTTTAAAGAAAGGATACATTCTCATAGTTACATATGCATAGATACTTTTTAATCAGAATATGAAGCTGCTTACCATGGTCATATCTGGGAACAAAACCTCCACACTAGTACTTACATTCATTCTGTACTCTACACTGGATATTGAAATTACTTTTATAATGAAATATGTATTAGAGTGGGTTGCTATAATGAAATTCCATAGACTGGGTGGCTTACACAACAGAAATTTATTTTCTTGATGTTCTGGAGACTGAATGTCCAAGATTATAGGGGATTGCATTCACCTGTCAGGATGAGACAGAATCTCTCTCTCTCCCTCCCTCCCTCCCTCCCTCTCTTCATCCCTCCCTCTTCTTATAGGATCCATCTATCCTGTCAGATTAAGATCTTACTCTTTCACTTTACTTCACCTTAATCACCTCCAAAGCCCTATCTCCAAATACAGTCATACTGGGGTTGGAACTTCAATATACAAATTTGAGAGGGATGCAATTCAGTCTATAGAATTTTTCAGGAGATCTGATGGTATAATCTCAGTCCAAAATTTGGCAGACTTGACACTAGGTAAGAGCTGATGCTTCAGTTTGAGTCTAAAAGTAGTAAAAGACTGGTTCCCCAGCTCAAGCAGCAAGGCAGGAAGACTTCCCTGCAACCCCTAAAGTCAGCCTTTGTATTCTACTTAGGTCTTCCATAGATTGGACGAGGGCCACCCACAAAAGGCTGTAGGTGGTCTACAGATTCAACAGTTAACCTCACTCAGAGACACGCCCACAATAATGTTTGACCAAATATTGGGCACCTGGTGGCACAGCCAGGTTGACACATAAAATTAACCATCACAAAATACAAATTTGATTTCCCTTTCATAATAAAACTGAAAGCAAATAGAGCCATGGAAAGAAAGTCAAACACATTTTCATGGAGAAGTTGGCTCTCAATCTCCCTCTATTTCACGGGTCAGCTTCCTTGTCAGTCTGATTCCCCTGTAATCCCAGTTTCTCCCCCTCACATTCCACCCATTCAGAATCCCTACAGTTGCAACTGGAAGTGACAGGAAAACAAAGCTTAGTAAATAAATAAATAGATCAGCCCCATGTGTTAAAAATCTCCCTAAGTTTCCAACTGGAACAATTATCAAAGTAGAGGCTAAGTTTTCAGGAGCAAGGTATCTTTAAAACTGCAAAATTTACACTCACACTGAAGGGAACAGGTACTCATTTTCAGAAAATATTTTCCTTCTTTATTCTAGAAACTGCAGGACAGTAAATTCCTCTTCTCACTCTTTTTTCTCTTGAAAAAAGGAGCATATTTTAAAGCTTTCCTCCTTTAGATGATAAGTTTCTTCCATGAAGGGAAGGGTTGAATTTTAGGTCATTTGTCGACCCACTTCCTGAGAAGAGACCACTTCCTTAGCTCTTATGACGCCCCTGCCCGAGAGCAGGGAGCCTTCCTTGGATTGGTAGTTTGGTCAAACTGCCTTAGAGGGGTCAAGTTTATCCCAAGACCTGTTGGTTCCTGTGGATTATGTTTTCTTCTAGAAAAAAGGAAACAGAAAAGGAGATAGAAACACCTGGATCAAAGGGCTGAGAGAGTGGGGTAGTTTGACCATTTTCTGAATACCTTCTTAGTAGAACGACTCCTGTCAGACTCATTCTGTCCCCACCCTGGCCTTTCTATACCCTCAGGACCACGAACTCTTCCGGCCTAGGAGAGCTGCCCCTCACGGCCAAGGGGCAGGAGGTGACCAGCAACACTGGTAAGGGCCGGAGCTTGGGCTTGACCAAGTCTGCTGATGTCCCCAAAGCTTGTGAATCTCCACATGAGGGCCTATCCCTCTTCTCCTCAGGGGACTGGGGTGGCCCCTCAGAGGGAACTCTGAGCAGCTCCTGAGCATCGTGCCTGCTCACTCTACTGCACCTTTCTAGAGCCTTGCTCCTATTTAAATCCTTTCCATTTTTCATGGTGACCTTCAGTCCTATCTCTTTCACAAAAACTTTGAATTAAAAAAAAACTATTTTAAAAACAATGTTCAAATGATTATTAGTATCATCCTTGGTGATAACAAAACCACAGGCTTTAGCTGTGGGGCACATTCAAGCTTCCAGCTTAGCCCAGGAGCAGGCTGGGGTGGAAGGATTGGAGCCTGTGAGCTGCTTTTCTGAAAGGTGACCTAGACAGAGGACAGGGACAGGCACCTTGGTGGGGCAACGAGCTCTCACTCAGGGCACAGCTAAGCCAGCCAGAACCAGCCCAATGGCAGGAGGTACGGCAGAAAACAGGCTGCAGTTGGCACATCAAACCCCATGCTGTTTTGCCACAAATACAAAGGAGTCACTTTCTGAGAGGAAGTCAGCTCTTCCTGCTCCTTACCTGGTGCCACCCAAATGATTATTTCTGGCTTTTTCAGAAAGCAGCAGGGTATACAGTGTGGACTCGGGGCAGAACCTGGACATTCAGCTGGCTCCAGTAACCATGGAAACCAGGACACAGAGTCTCCACCAACCAGACCCAGGGATCCCCCTTTCCAGTTGTGTCAGTAGAAAGAGAATCTGGCTGGTACTGATCACCCTAAAAGGTAGGATGAAATCAAGGAGAAATCCAGCCCTTCTGATGGTACCCAGAGAGATTTCAGAACTGGTGACCAATTCTGATATTTTTCAGTCTTTAGAAAATTAGAGAAAATAAGGGAAAAGTAGTATTTTAAAAAGAATTGAAGGGCCGGGGATTTAGTTCAGTGGTTCTGGCACCTGCCTCAAATGCGCAAGGACTGGAGTTCGATTCCCAGTACCGAAAAAAACCAACCAAACAAAAAAAGGATTGAATTTATTTAACTTAGAAGTATCTTTTTCTGATACTATGTTTTCTTCTTATTTTTAATGTCATAATCCCCTTTCTCCTATGTGATGGTATTGATAATAGAAGGCAATTGATTTTATTTTTGTACTGGGGATCGAACTCAGGACCTTGCGCTTGTGAGGCAGGGGCCTGCACTGAGCTAAATCCCTGGCCCTAGAAGGCAATTGATTTGTAAAGCTCTTCTTTTTGGTGGGCGGTTGCTGGGGCTCAAATCCACAGCCTCACTCGTGCTAGGAAAACACTGTGCTACTGACCTACATCCCCAGCCCTGCAACATTCTTTTTTTTTTTAAAGTTATGACTTTGATTAAATTCCCAAAGTCTGCACACTATGGGGTTAGGTAACCTCACTGAAGGCTGTATATAGGATCTATCCAGGGCCAGAGCTGGATTTGAATTTCTGTTACTAAGTATTTCCTTTTAAGCCTTAGAGATACAGGAAGTATGACTGGGGGTAATTGATTTTACATCCTGAGCTTCATATTTCACACATGTGAAAATGAGTTAATAAAATCTGCCCTGTTGTCACAAAGCAAAAATGAGATAATGGAGAAGAGAGAATGTTGAGAAAAGTTCCACACTGTGCACAAGGGCTCAGTGTGATTATTGTAGGTCAGCCTGTGGAATTGTTACTTCAGTATTGGCAATTGAATGGAGGACCTTCACACTGAGCTATGTCCCCAGACCTTTTTCATTTTTAAATTTTGAGACAGGGTCTCTCTAAGTCATTGAGTTGCTCAGGCTAGGGTCTAACTTCCGAACTTCCTGCCTCAGCCTCCCAGAGTGCTGGGATTAAAGGCATGTGACACTGTGCCCAGCTAGTCAGTGGGATTTTGAAGCTTCCCCTGCATGTGTGATGTTGGCTTTGAAGATCATATACACTTCCTAGGACCCTCCACACAAGGTACCACGCACAGGCTGTACAGGGTACCGGAAGCACTCAGAGCTCTAAGGCCAGAAGCCTCCCATCCAGATGTTGTCAGGGCCCTCACCAGTCTAAAGCCCCCAGAGAAGGCTCCTTCCTCAACTCCCCCCAGCCCCTGGTGGCCCTGGGTGTTCCTTGGCTTGTGGCTCCGCCTCTCCAGCCTCTGCGCCTGTCTGCACGTGATCACCTTCTCCTTGCGCTTCTGTTCTTTTGTCAAGGACAACAGTCATATTGGATTATGGGGCCCACCCCACCCCAGTATGACCTCATCTTACCTTGATTTCATCTGCAGTGGCCCATTTACAAATGAGGCCACGTTCTGAGGTCCAGGAGATCAGGATTTTAACACATCTATTTGCGGGGCACAATTCAAGCCATAATAAAGACTATGTAGGAAAAATTTTAGGTTGTGTCTTAAGTAACACCACCTGCTCCAACATTTAGGAAAACAAATTTCTCCCCAACCTCCAAGGAAAAATGCTAGGAGGCAGAAACAGAGAGAAGGGGCAGAGTTCTGGAGGAAAATTAAAGCAGCTGGTTAATAAGCAAGCAGAACCGTGGCTCCAGAGAGACGGGGCAGGGCTGCTTGCTCCGAGCGCTCTCAGCGGGGTGCAGCTCCCCCAGAGCAGCCTGCATTGCCCGCGAAGGGTGGAAAGAGCCAAAGGTCCCTAAGTCTGCTCTTCCGGGCCTGTAGCCGCGGGGACAGTGACAGCCCCGCGCAGCCCCGCTGGAGCGGACACCCGCGTTCTTCTCTCCTGCCCGGGGCCCTCCACGTCCTGCCCACGGGCTGTTCTGGTTTTTAAGGCAGGACCCGGTCGGGGGAAGACCTTTCTCAGATCTCGGGAAATAGCCTCTCCCCGGGAAGTTCGTGGGGCCTGAAATCTGCTCCCTGAAAAGGCAAGGCTGCAGTATGGCCTCTGCTGGCCCTCAGCACTTTCACCTTCGTGGGTCTTTAAAAACGTTAGGGCTGGGGTTTTAGCTCACTGGTTCCGTCGCCTGCCTCGAAAGCGCAAGGACCCGAGTTCGATCCCCGGTACCAAAAAAAGAGAAAAAATGTTAACAGCGAGGGCCGGATTGAGCTCAGTGGCACCGCGCCTTCCTGGCAAGTGCGAGGTCCTGAGTTCGATCCCTGGTAGCAAAAAAAAAAAAAAAAAGCTAAAAGCGGGCCATGGTGACACATGATGATGCCTATCATCCCAGCACCAGAGGCCCAGGTAGGAGGACGCTTGAGTCCAGGAGTTCAGACCAGGCTGGACAAGATTGTGAGGCTCATCTCTTAAAAAAAAAAAAACAAACAGCAGCGCTGAGAGAGTGGTAGAGTGCTAGTCTAGCAGGAGAAATGCCCTGGATTCCATTTCCAACTGTGAACAAAAGGAAGGCAAGAAAGAAAGAGAGCAAGAGGTATTCATAAATAAGAGTACAAATACACCTACACTCATATCTATGGTTTTATATATATATATATATATTCATCGACATGATAGATACAGGTGTAATTAATTAAAGGAGCATAATTCAGGCTGAATTCATTATTATATATCCGTTATCACCACATCTTTTGTTTTCTCTTGGTTTAAAAAGAAATTTAAATCAATGCATTTTTGTTAGCCTTTAAAATGCCACAGACCCTCGGCGCTGTGCCTGCTGTAGCCGTGGGAGGTCGGCCGGAGGAGGCTGTGCTGTTTTTAGCATATGTGTGTGGGGTACGGTAGGGTTCGTGTGTGTAGACCTAGGAGATGATTCAGAATCAGTCCAAGCCAGACTCGGGGCAGTGACCCAGCGACCCTGTAAGACCCCACTCGCTGAAGGAGAAGGTTAAGGCTCCAATCTCCGCCTCTTCAGAGCTGGATGCTCCCTTCCCTCCTGCAGACCCAGGCGTGGGTCCAAGTGGGACATGCATCTGCCTTGGCAGTGGTTCCTGTTATCCTACTTCAACATCCGGACACTGTGCCTCACATTAGGACAAAGATGTGCAAACAGGGATCGACAGACAGGGGAGGGAGCTGGGAAGAACAGCCTGGCACACTCACCTCAGTCGGGCCCAGATTTAAAATGCATAGACACTTCTAGCGTGAGGAAGTGCAAATGGCAAGTAAATACATGAAAACATGCTCGATACCACTGATCATTCGAGAAATGCAGCTAAAACAAAGCTGAGATTCCACCTCACTCCAGAAAGAATGGCTGTCATCAAGAATCAACCAATCACAAATGCTTGGCGAGGTTGTAGAGGGGAAGGAAACTTTTCTATTGCTGGTAAGAGTGTAAACTATGGAAATCAGTGTGGAGATTCCTCAGAAAACTAAAACTAGAGGTTCCATTTGACTCAGCTCTTCCTCTTCTTGCTGTCTTCCTGAAAGAGTTAAAAAATTAAAAGCATCATGCCACAGTGATATATACCCATGTTTATAGCAGCACAATTTATAATGGCTAAGTCTTGGAAACAGCCCATATGCCCATCAACAGATGAATGATCAAAGAAAATGTGCTATTTACATACAATGGAGTAGTACTCTGCCATAAAGAAGAATAAACTTGAGTAATTTGTCAGAAAATGGATGCACCTCAAGACCATAATCTTCAGTGTAATAAATCAGGCACACAAGTTTAAATTTCTCTTGAGTGAGAAATGCAAAAGGTAGATAAGGAGCAGGATGGAGGATAGATAAGGGGAAGTGGGAAGAACATGTTCAAAAGAGAAAGGAAACAAGGGAGGGGGAAGGGAAGGAAGGATAAGAGAGAAAAGAGAATGGAAGGAAAAAAATGGGAACAAAGCTTTTGTAAATGGAGAGGGAAGAAAGGTTGAAGGGAGAGGGTGGGGAATGGGGGAAAAAGAATCAAGATGTATTATGTACAGGTGCAAATTCCCTACAATGAAGGTGATCAATGTGTATGACAAATATGTACTGGTAAAAAATAAAGTTAAAAAAGAAAATAAATATATAAATGAGGGCCTAGGAGCTGGCATTATTTCCCATCAACACAAATCCTTCCACTTCAGAGTTGGGCAAAAACATTTTTTCATGGAGGACCAGTACTAGTCACAGTTTTGAGGGCAAAATGTTTCACCTTCCATCTAACCTCACATTCATCTGCCTTCTTCGCCAGCTGGGGCAATCTTGTCAAGTCTGCTGCACTTAGGAAACATCATTGGTCATCTGAGACGGACGTGGGATTGGTGAACTTTAAGGGTGAGAGAGTACAGTCATTGTTTGACACCTGTGAGCTCTACATCCAAGGATTCAACCAACCTTGGATAGAAAATATCAGGAAAAAAATGTGTCTGTACTGTACATGCGCAGGCTTTTTCTTGTGTTTATTCCCTAAAAAATAGAGAATAACAACCATTCACATGGCATTTATGTTACATTAGGCCTGACAGATGGCTTAAAGTACGTGGAAGGATTATGGAAGCTATTCACAAACTCCATGCCCTGTTACATAAGGGTCTCCAGCATCTGAAGGTTTTGATCCCTGAAATGGGTCCTAGAACCAACTCCATGGATACTCGGGGACAAATGTGTATATTTTAGACTTTGTCTGCCTAATGGTTCTTGCCTGTGGTTTGACTATAGTTGTCTCCTACCTCCCAAAGTCAAGCAGGGCTTTAATCCTCAAAGGCTTATGTTAGTGGGATTAAGAGGATAGAAATTTGGGGGCCAGTGATTTAGCTCAGTGGTTTTACCACCTGCTAAGCAAGTGCAAGGACCCGAGTTTGATCCCCAATACCAAAAAAAAAAAAAAAAGAAAAAGAGGATGAAAACTTAATCCGACTATGGCATTCAAAGGTGGGGTCCTCAGGAAGTGACCAGATTAGATTAGGTCATATGGATAGGGTCCCCTAATTGAATCCTGATGGCTTCATAAGGAGACAGAGGTAAATCACCCA